AGGTCAGGTATGCCCACACCGTGTGCCTGCCACCGCCCCCCCCCAGGTGGGGCTGAAAGGACTGGGGGACTCTGGCAGGGCTGAGGGGCCTGGGCACCAGCATCTTGTGGCCTTGGGCACCACCATCTTTGTGACAGAGTGACAGTCAATTTTCATATTCCCTCTTTATTAGATAGGATATGTAATGCTTTCATATATTGGGTAGTGTGTATAGAGTGCTGATCAATATCCTTACAATCACATGGCTATTACTGGAACATGACTAGCGATTTGCAGAAAACAAACCTAATCCAACCAAGTACCAAGGTGTATACAGACTATCAAAATGAACTGTGCTGTGAAGTTGGAAACCTCTGTAAGGTTTCGGTTGATGTGTCTCACCTGGCTCACCAGGGTCTTTCTTCTGTCTATGATTCACTGAGAGCAAAGGGGAAAAACACAGGGCCTTGGAGAAAATCTGTGCTTGGAGTCAGCAGGGCTTCCTGGGCTGCACCCTGGGATGCCCAGATCCATGGATCCTGCCTGGGCCATCAGGGGCAGGGACCCTATGTGAAAAAGTCCAAGCCCAGCTCCTTGGGGTCCTGAACACACATGCAGTAGAATAGGGATCAACATTGGTTGAGGAAAGAAAATATGTTCATTTTTGGGACACATTTCATAGGGAAACTTTTTCCCCCAGAGTGATGAGCTATTACAAGGTCACCTCAGAAAATGGAATGAAAAAAAGGTTGGGCACTTAGCGGGGAAGTGCAGGTGAGTGAGTGGGTAGAGAGAATGGACAGAAAGAGCATGTCAGTTTGTTGAGGTTGCCAGGGAGCCAGGTCAACATGCTCCTTAGTCCTGTGTATATGCATACATCTTTTGTGGTTCCATGTCCTTCTCCCTCCTTCCACCCCCGGAAGTGTGTAGGTTAAAAGGATTTGGGAGCATGCATTCTGCATTTGATGTTTATCTCTGCTGCTGATTCTGGAACTTGGTGCCGCAGGCATACTTGCCCACACTGTGACACAGCCGCGTCAATTTTTGTTATAATAACTCTTCCCCTTGACACAGGTTATATGAAAATCTACTCCAAGAAAAGGCCTTTGTATGGCATCTGTTCAGGGCTGTGTGGCTTGTTGCTCAGGCGAAATGGATCTGTTAGTGAGGTGCTGCAGGTTGTATCACAAGGACCACCATGTGCGAGCGGGCATGACCACAGGACGCTTGGAGCACACTTGCTCGAATTCAGTGTGGCCATTGTGCAGTCCACAGTTTGAAACCTGATTTTTAAAGCTGATGAAATGGAAAAGCATCCAGGCCTGGGACACAGGAGCCCTGAACTCCAGCTCTGATTCTCCAAATGGCTGTGTTTGGTGCATTCTTCCCTCAGTGACTTCATCCTGTCATGGCTGCCACTCCCTCATCCCTCTCCCTTGTGGGCAGGGCTCCTTGAGGGCGGAGGCTAAGTCTTCTTGTATGCCCAGTGCCTGGCGCAGGCCTGGGCACTCAGAAGGCTCTTAATAAATGGTTGCTCCCAATGACCAAAAACCTGAGTGCACCACTCATACACACATATGTATGCATGTGGTTGTATGAGCGTGAAGGAAAGTACAAAAGTATCCATTCCTTGCTGTCCACATGGTGGGAGTGGGGAGGGTGATGTGGACAGCGAAGGAGGGAGAGGAGGTGGAGAGAGGCAAGCAACAGAGAAGAAAATAAGGAGACTGCACTAAAAAAAGGCTGGATGCATAATTTGGTCTTTGTTTAAATAAAGTACAGTTATGTATGCATAAATAAATTAGGGGAAAATGATGATGTACATATGTTAAGTCAAAACAAGTTACAGAGTATTTCAGTTAAAAACTGTAAATGAAACACCCCATATATCTGTATATCTGTGCATAGTTAGGTTTAAATGAGCAGAAGGGAGGGTGGATGTGCTGGGTACTATGGGGCACCCCCTAACTGAGACTATCAACCCACAGCTACTGGGAGTGTTGGCCGCTGTCAGCTCACAGCTGAGTTCCTCTTCAAGAGTTGCTCTCAGCCAAAGGAAGCTGCTTTGCCAAAGGTTGTGCCTGTCCCCTCTTCTGGGCAGCTCAGGCCCAAAAACTGATGTGGGGGCGAGGGGGGGTGGTCAAAGGCCTCTCCCTTTTCAATGCAGAACAGCTCCTGAGCTCTTCTGGTCAGTCCCACCCCCTGTAACCTCCCCAGGAAAGGAAGTAGTGGGTGGAAGTAAACATTTCATGCACATACACTGTCTTTCCTGGGAACCTTATGACTGTGGCAGGATACGTACTTGTTTATGAATACGTTACCTCAAGGGCTGAGACTGGAAGGAAAGGATTAACTTTTCCTCTATCCATCTACATATGAATTCATTTATTACAATGAGCATTTACTGCTTTTATAATATTAAGAGCATCATGGAAAGAAATGTAAAGTGCAGTAATATATGCGAGTTGAATGAATGAATGGCCATGTCTATATGTAGTTGGAGAAATAAGGATAAAATAGCGCGTCAAAGGTATCAATGTTTGATGAACAAAAATAAAGGGGATTTTGCCAACCCTTATGATGACTTTTGACTTAGTTGTTTCAAAAGAGATAGGACCAGTTTTCTAAGAGTGAGGGACCACCTCACAGATAGATGAGAGAAAAAGGGGATTAGTGGCTGGAAGCAAAATAGGAAAAAGAGTTGTAATTTCATGGGAAGAGAGACTTTGTAATATCAGAGCTATCTGCCTGGAAAAGAGGTTGCAAATGACACTGTCCAAAGGACCTGTAACTCTTCCATTTCATGAGCAGCCAGATTAGAATTGGAGAAGGAAAATACCTGGCATTTCTATCACCTGCAGCACCTCCCTGCTCTGGGCCCTGGCACACCATTGATGACCAGCCTCCCTCCTGGCGGCCTTGGATTCTTACCCAGCCCCACTCTCTAGGCAGCCACTGCAGATGTGCTGGAGTATTCACCAGCGATAAAATCTATTCACCCCTCCAGAACTAAGTGATTTTTCCGCTTCCTCTAATTCCAAGGTTCCATCAGGTCCTCTGGGGAAGATTGATTTATTCAGGAATAACTTAGACCAGCAAGCCTATACCTTAGCCGAAGGCTTATGCCTTCAGCCATTCAGTGCTACTTGATTTTTGCAAATACATCCTCTTTAGGCACCTCTAAATGAGATTCCTGAGGCTCATTGTGTTCTTTGGAGAGGGCTCAGAGCATTTATGGGAAGCAAGCCCTCGGCAGCAGAATCATTCTGCTGGGGTCTGTGTCGATGGTCCCTGGTAATCTGGTAGGGGCACCTGGTCCACATTCTGCATAGGAACCCTGCTTAAAGGGACGGACAAGTTGCTGGCACAGAAACTGCCCCCTACAGTCAATGTCACTGCTTCTTTGACCTGTTGTGTGCTGGCACTGTGGGATAAGAGCTAGAAGCAGTGAGCAGGACAGAGAGTCTGTCCTTGAGGGGTTAAGAGTTCAGAGTGAGAACAGCTCCAAGGAAGAGCTGTAAAGTAAGTGGTGACTTTCTTGACATAGGAAGTCTTAGAGGTTACGGACTTAAGAGGGCCCCAGGTTTAGCTTCCAGGGATGAGTGGCTTCCCAGAGGAAGTATCAAGCTTTGGTCATAATCAGATCATCTGAGCAGGTGACTACAGCCACCTTCAAAGATCTCCGAATCTATTTGCTACATACAACACATTTCTGGATTTAGAATCTTTCTACAGAATTTTTGTCTTAAATACTTACCACTTTATTGCAAAGCTGTTAGGATTCATAAAGGAAGATAATTGAAACAAATGGAACTCTCTGGAGAGGCAAAAGTAACTAATAAATAATGGTTTGCTTTGCTTTAGAAATCCGCATGCTGTACCTCCCAGTGTATTGAAAAGAAGACATGGCATTGGGATGGGAAGGGAAACCAAGGTTCCTTGTTTTGAAACCACAAAGTATTTCTTCCTATTCCCGTTTCAGGTGGCCGTGTCATCGCAGCGGCACAGAGGCAGGCTCTCCAGGTGTTAGGGTTAAAGACCTGCGGGCAGAGAGAGCATCGAAGACACCATCGCTAAAGGTACCATTTCCTGTGACTCTTTTACTATCCATCATTGCAATAGCCAGTGTGAGGCTTTCCCTAGGGCCTGCACATTCCCAGGGATCTGAGACTGTGTCTGCAACAACAGCCTGGGGACGGTCCCCTGAAAGGAGGGGGTCAGGAGCATTAGCTCCCCGGCTTCAGGCCGTCGTGGAAAAAGGTGGAGAAAACCACGGTTTGGGCTTCTCATAAAATATTTCTGAAATGCATTTCATGATGTGGTTGGTAATAAAAGTGTGTTACTGCGCTCACCCCCACCAGGAGGCTAAACTTGATTCCGACCCAACCGCGCCCGCCTGGGCCGCATGAATCAGTCACTAAATTATTCACCAGCCTGTCTCGAACATTTCTGTAGTTCCAAACCTCTTATAAACCATTATGAAAAAATATCCATCCCTTTATCTCTATCCATAACTATTTATATGGCTCAGGAAAACCCTGTCGTTTTATTTCTTTTAATTTAAAGGCTTTCCTAATTCCTTTTTCATACCACATATATATGTCTAAAGAATTTTCAGGTTGAAATAATAACCTCTAAAAAATGGTCTGTGGGAGAAGGCTCTCAGATTCACAGAGCTGACAGGCACAGTGAATATTATGCTCCCTTAATAACTCTTCCTGGCACTCAAACTTGATATACTGAATTGGGAACTTTTCAAACCGGCGAGGTCCTTTTTTTTATTGTACAGAACAATGATAATATACCCACAGCCTTCTCTCTCAATTTGTTGATACGGTTGCTAAAGTTTGTTCTGGAAAAACATTTCCTTTCTCAGATGTACTGTGAGCTCGTTATCCATCCCTGTATAACGATAAGAAGTCCCATATTAAAATCAGCACAGAGTATCCTAGTGATATCCTGCCTCACTTGGGGACACTTGATTACAGAGGACCTCAGGCCATTGAAAATACCTTTGAATGTACAAACTCACCAGAGTTATCATTGCATTAAGCTGGCTAGCAGTCATTCACACTTGAGAGCAAATTGCTAATTTTGGTGCTTCTAGGCTAAGACCTGGTTGAGATTAAGTTGTCTGCAACCAAGCAGAGTTGGCATGGGGTGGACCTCATGACAACTAGGGTTGGTTGTCACAACGAGAGCATCACTGGAAATGCATTAAGATGGAGACCTTGTTACTTATTAGCACTCTGCTCAAAGTACTTGTGTAGCTAAAAGAATATTTGACAAACCACCTGCATTGAAAGCTTAAGGTCCTCCCCCTCCCCAAGAGAAACTTGGTCAAGTGAAAATAGTGCCCTCTAACCTGACTTCCAAATAAGGTGGGTTCGGTGCCAGTAGATCTAGGGTGCTGTCATCCTCCTCTAAATCGATGTTGAATAAATATTTCAAGAATTTTGGTGTAAAGGTGAGACAAGTTATTAGCTTGACAAGTATCTGAAGGTTTGGATGGAGGGGTTGGAAGTATAAAGGAGGGAGCCCGGACCCTACCAGGGAATCTGAGAAGTCAGTGTGCAGGGGGCAGGCAGTAGGAAGAGAACCACCATATCCTTTCTGGAGCGAGCTTTACCCTGCCCAGTCCTTCCCAGGGCACCAATCAACAGGCTGGATCAGAGAATGTTCTCGAAAGGCAAGGATGAGCCTGATGTTTAAAGAAGGGCTATGACATTGTGATGTATAATAAGAAATATATATTTGTCTTCATCCCATTTCTGGCACAGAGCTCCTAAAACCTGGCATTTCCTAAATGTGATAAGAAAGATAAAGGTGTCGATATTTCAGCAAACACCTTTCACTATCAGGGGTGGGGAACCTTTTTTCTCCCAAGGGCCATTTGGATATTTATATCATTTGTGGGCCATAAAAAATTATAACTTAAAAACTAGCCTGCTATACTTGGTCAAATATTTAATTGACTCACCCCTTAATGCCTTGGCAGGGCCAGACCAAATGATTTCACAGGCTTTATATGGCCCTCAGGCCCCACATTCCCCACCCCTGCCTTATGTTAATGAGATGATTTTTGGAAATCCCCTAAAGATGGGGACTGGTTGCCAAGGGACCCAAACATGTGATTGAAGGATTGACATTGTCAGTTCCACCCCTGACCTATTGGGAGGGGAGAAGGGCTGGAGATTGAGTTCAATCACCAATGGTCAATGATTCAATCAATCATGCCTATGCAATAAAGCCTCCATAAAAAACAAAAGGTTGGGGTCCAAAGAACTCCCATGAGAACAGAGAGCCTCCTTTGATTGGGACCTCACCTATGGGTCTCTTCATCTGGCTGTTGATTTGTATTCTTTAATATCCTTTGTAATAAACCAGTAATCTAGTGAGCAAATGGGTTTCCTGAATTCTTTCAGCTGTTCTAGCAAATTAATGGAAACCAGGGAGGGAGTTGTGGGAACCTCCAGTCTGTATCCAGTCGGTCAGAAACAGAGGTGACAACCTGGACTTCTGATTGGCATCTGAAGTGGAGGACAGTCTGGTGGGTCTGAGCCCTTGACTTGTGGAATCTGATGTTCTCTCTGGGTAGATGGTGTCAGAATTAAGTGTTGCAGAGAATTGCTTAGTGTGTGTGGGAGGGGATGGGGGGAGGTGGGAAGCAACCTCAGAATTGGTGTCAGAATCAGATTGGTCATCCCAAAGCACATCAGAACCATAAACACCCCAGAGTTTCATTTAGTTTAGGTCTAACAGTAGTCTCATCAAACCCACGTCAGATGTGCGGGGCCTCCCTTGAAGCCAGTTTACAACTGCCAGTGGGTCCAGGCAGGGGTGGTGGGTCCTGCCAGCCTCCTGAGGGCAGGACTTCTCAGAAATCCACAGGATGCAGTGTTAGAGGTCATTCTCAGAAGCACCAGCTGCTCTTCTGATGAAATCTCAAAGCCACCTCCTGGCATGGAGGCCAGTCATCTTTCTCTGCCAACCCTTGTTACGTGTGTACACTGGACATTACAGGAAAGCATGGATTGTCCAGAGGAGCCCTCTGCCCCTGTACTCACAGATGGCTGTTCACCAGCTTGGTCTGGTGTTGGAATGGCAGAGGTCATCCAGTAAGAAAGTGTTGGTTGCTTGCCGACTCTTTAACAATTCAAACCAGGATGCACTTCCCAGGCTGCCTCCCTCAGCCTACTGCTCCCCTACCTTCGCTCCCCATGCATTTGAAAGCAGCTTACTTTAAAAGCTGATTAGATGAGCCCTTAATAACATTAGAATTTAAATGGCCCCAGATAGGCTTTTAGCTTCTTGCCAAATTGAGATAAATGTGATATTTGGGGAGCTGAGCTCCCAGCTTCAAGGCTGCTCTGGACCGCAGATGGGTTTTGAAGCAGTGTGTGTTATGTGCCCTTGAGTCAGCTTGACTCCTGGTGACCCTACAAATGAGTGATGTCCATAATGTCCCATCCTCAACAGCACTGCTCACCTCCTGTAGACTCATGCCTATGGCTTCTTTTATGGAGTCAATCCATCTTGAGTTTGGTCTTCCTCTTTTGCTGCTGCCTTCTGTTTTTCCCAGCATTATTGTCTTTTCCAAAGAACCCTGCCTTCTCATGATGTGCCCAAAGTAGGACAGCTTCAGTTTTGTCGTTTTTTGCCTCCAGAGATGTTTCAGGCTTACTTTCCTCTAGAACCCCTTGTTTGTTTTTCTGGCAGTCCAGGGCATCCATCGAGCTCTCCTCCAACATCATATTTCAGATGAATCAAGTTTTTTCCTTATCAACCTTCTTCACTGTCCAACTTTCACACCCGTACATAGTAACTGGGAATACGAGGGTATGAATGATCTCAGCCCTGGTCTCTGTTGACTCATCTTTGCCATTGGGGATCTTTCCTAATTCTTCCATTGCTTCCCTTCTGAATCTCAGCCTTCTCCTGATTTTTGGCTGCAAGTCTTGATTTTAATTGATGATTGAACTGAAGTAAGCAAAATCTTAACAATTTCATTGTCTTTGTTGTTTGTGCTAAAGTTGTATATTTCGTTCGTGGTCATAATTTTATCTTCTTGATGTTCAAATTCAGTCCTGCTTTGGCACTTTCTTCTTTCATGAGAAGTCATTTCAAATCATGACTACTCTCTGCCAGTAAGATGGGGTCATCTGCATATCTTAAATTGTTGATGTTTCTTCCAACAATTTTCAGTACTCTTTCCTCTGTGTCTAGCCAGTTTTCATATGCTACAGTCTGCATACAGACTGAACAACTAGGAAGATAAAATGAATTCCTGTCTGACCTACCTTCTCCCATGTTGTTCTGTAGCCTGAAATTGAGGTTGTGCGCATCTACAAGGTGTCTTTCATTTTTAAAGGTCTGGGATTCTGTGTGTAGGTATGTCTTCATGATCGAAATTTTCAAGAAAAGGTAAGTTGAGGCCAAGGGACACAGGCCAGCATTAAAATCTGGGGGACAATCTATGGGAAAACTTCTCCCTGTACTCCCACACTCTCTGATAACTTTTAGTTCCAGGCAATAAACCTTTACTGAGCAACTACTGTTTAGTCATTGAATTCAATGTTAATGTTGTGATTACCTGACTTTGGCTGAGAATAATACAGATTGTTCAGAAGTATGACTGTTTCATCTTAGTGAGTATGCTCAGTCCCTCTGTAACTCTTACAGGTAGGTTCAGTGCTGGGAGGGGAAACCCACTCATCAAGCCATTGAGCTATGACCGCCTTCCAATATAATAATCTTCGGGAAGTTTTAGTAAAAGTAAAATAACAGAATGGAAAGAGGTACTGTGGGAAAGGGACCAAAAGTGAGCATAAATGGATTGTTAAATGCTGAGGTGAATGGAGTCTTCAAAATAAGTAAACAAAAACCCAGTTGTCTTTTCTTTCCCGTCATATCCCAACCAAACCAAGCAACTGGTGTTTTCAGATTTAAATCTTGAGGTTCTTAAAAACATGGCTTGCCCTTTTGATGGGTTGGTCATTGCAGAAATGCCCCGAGTTTAAGCTTCCTTTTAGAAGGTTCACCAAATAATCGCCACTCTTAGAACCTTTCAGAAGCAGCC